TCAAATTTCTCTAACCTTGACTCGAACACTTTATAGTTTTTTTAAAATCCAGAATCCAATAAAAACTCATGGCTTGCATTTGAATGACATGTTACTTCAACTTCCTTTAATCTAGCACAGTCTCTTCTAACATTGACTTGTTTTCAAGAATTCAGGACAACTGTCTTGCAGAATGTTACATCATCTGGATTTGTCTGTTTCCTAATGGTTGGATAGGTAGGCTGTGTACTTCCTACTATTTTGTATCAACTGGCACATGTCAATTTGTCCCATTGTTGGTAATGTAAACTTCATTATTCAAATTCAGAAGGTTCTCTCCAGTCCTCTACTTGGTCAAGGAAACTTTTTCATACTTAAATTACCAGTAAGGTGATTTTTTTGTTATCCCTCCTTATACTTTTAAGCATACCATAATAATAGTTATTTAATTATGAAGCAAAACTGTTAAAAGTTTTGAGAATATCCACAAAGAAAACAAACAAGCAAACAAAAAACCAAAATATATTCATGAATCATTTCACTTAAGTTAAAAAAAGGGGAACTTCATGGAAACAAAGCAACATAACTACAGAGGAAACTACTGCATTTACATGATTCATTTATACTTCATTCCCTTTCTTTCCCAGGTGCATCCTGTAATTTAGTAGAAGATCTTTGACAAGCAAGCACTTAATGACTTTCAGCAAATAGGCTATCGTGTCAATGAAAATTTCAGCATTAAACAGGCAGTGATGGAAAAAGAGAGTAGGTGAAGGGGTTAGGTGCAGCTGGGGATGATAATGCATGAACTTTAAGTTATTTTAGGATGGAGCCTCTGTATCTACATGTCCCTAACACCCAGGACAATGGCACGTAGGGACAATGTTCTTCAGAACATTGTTTAGAGTGGAGCAATAAATGATAGTTCTTTTAGAGGCAGAGCTGACATTCACACCAAGGCGTTCTGGCTTTGGAACCCACATTCTTAACCACTACTGATGGAACAGTTTCCATAGCATTTGATCTCAACGTGCAAAGGCTCATTATGTAAGATAAAATCTCTAGCCTTTAGTCAGGCATTAAAAGTCCTCTCCACAGTAAAGAGGTTGCTCAGAAAATTAAAAAAACAAAAAACTACCTCATGGTGTAGCAATTTCACTTCTGGGTGGGTATATATTGGACAAAATCCAAAACATAAATTCAAAATGATATAGATACCCCTATGTTCAGTGCAGCGTTATTTAAAATAACCAAGATATGGAAGCAACAACCCAAGTGCCCATCAATGGAAAAGTGAATAAAGAAGACATGGTATATATATACACAATGCAATATTACTTGGCCATAAACTGTGAGACCTTACCATTTTTGCAACAGCACGGATAGGCCTAGGGGGTTTTATGCTAAGTGAAATAAATCAGACAAAGACAAATACCATATAATTTCACCTACATGTGGAATATAAAGACCAAAATAAACAAACAAAACAGTAATAGAGGCATAAATACAGAGAACAAACTGAGGGTTACCAGATGGGGGTTGGGAGAGTGGTAAAAAAAGGTTAAGGGGTTAGAAGTACAAATTTGTAGTTACAAAACAGTCATGGGAATGTAAAGTACAGCACAGGTAATAGAGTCAATAATAATGTAATAATTATATATGGTACCAGGTGGGTATTACAATTATAGGAGGGGATCACTTTGTAAACTATGTAATTGCCTAACCCCTAAGCTATACATCTGAAACTATTATAAAATAATATTGAATGTCCACTGTAATTAAAAATAAAACAACAACAACAATATAAATGTCCTCTCTATATTGCTCCCAACCTACTTCTCCAATCTTATTTCCCAATATTTGTTTCTTCCAACATAGGTGATTCTCTCCAATGGTTTTACTCCCTATATGTTAAAAATTCCCCTCATCGTTTCTATAATATTGTCCTACTTACAAATTTCTATTAGCATAATTTTAAAGACTTGACTCAAAGGCTAACTATTCCATAAATACTTTCCCATTCTTGCCTTGGGATGTCTGTTCTCCTTTTCAAAAATTCTCAAAGAAGGATTTGCTGAACTTTAAGTCACTTGTCGCTTTCTATATTGAGTTATGATTAAACACTATAACTCTGTACACACCCCCTAGTAGATTATAAGCATCTTTAAAGTTAAGTCTCATGCTTGCCTGTTTTCATATGCCCCCACGACCTAGAAGAGTAACCTGCATGCAATAGGTACTTAATGTTTGTTTTCCACATAAAATACATTTTCCTTGAATAATTCTGGCCTCAACTCATAGTTTGTTCATTCTATATACTTAGAAGAGAATGCCCTTCTGTCATTCCCCATCTGTCCAAAGCTGATCTCCATAAAACCTTTCCAAATACCCATCCCAAACCTTTGCAGGTGCTGGGTGTATTTATAACTTGAGTTGTGGTGATGGTAACAGGAATGTATACATATGTCCAAACCCACCAAATTTCATACATTAATTATGTGCAGTTTTTTTGTATACCTCAATAAAGCTGGGGAAACATGTTTTAGAAGAAAAAAATGTGTAGACCTGGAGTCTGCATTCTGATCCAGTTCTGAGATTCATTAGCTGTTAATATTGGCAAATTACTTAACATTTCTGTGCCTCAATTTCTTAATCTGGAAATGATAATAGCATTTACTCCACAGGGATTTTTTTTTCAGTAAAGATTAAATGAATTAATACCAAAAAAGTACACAAAATAGTGCTGCCATATCGCAAGTACTCAATAAAAGTTAATCATTATTCTGTATTTTTCTCATGGTTTGTGAATATCATTTGTCAATGATTACTTATTAGTTGGTGATATATGTTCTACTTTTTATAGGAACTTAAAATTAAATCAAGTACAATATTATTAATTAATTTTAAGGGGCATATCTTATTTTCTTAAAGTATGGGATAACTCTGACTACTGAGCATATGGTATATTGGCTGAGCATTGGCTCAGTACTTTCCAGAAATATTTCATTCAATACTCACAATCACAGTGAAAGATAGCTGCTATTTCCATATTAAAGATAAACCAAAACAAAAACAAATATTTAGAGAGAAAAAACAATCTGTTAAAGTTGTCTAAGCTAGTGAGTAGTAAAACTAGGACAGTTCTTAAAGGCAAATATAATAGTTAATTTATATCCGTTCCCCAAAGTTCCCCAAGTATATTAAGTAGTTAATATACTTAGGTTCACTAACACAATCTTTCTTATTGCAAAGTATTTTTTGCTTGATATGTCAAGCATATATACTTGGTATACTTACTTTTTATTTTTAATAGACCTTAATACAGAGAACATATTTTTCACTTTTAAGATGATTTTCAAAAAACTTTACCTTAGACTCCAATATAAACCCTTTTCTCACATCAATGATAAGAACATAATACACTTATAGTATATTTTAATATAACTAAAGACTTTTTTTACTATTCTCCATGCCTTTGTGCTAATCTCTATCAACTTATATTTAGCTTTTAGCTCTGCTATATCTTTTTGGATTGATGCTATTTCCATACGGTCTTACTAGTGTTGAAGGAAATACTACAGAACATTTGCTCTACACCTTTGATTTATCAAAGTGGGAAATGGGGCTCAGGCAGATGGAGAATATGGCAATACTGCTGAGTCAGTGAGGGCAAGAGAGGGACAGAACCAGCATTCTTTATTCTCACTATTGTCCTCTTTTAGCTAAGCTATGCTGCCTCATGAATACAAATAAATGCCATGATTTTCACACCCTAATCCACTGCATCTATAACGTGGCTTTGTACCAGTGCTTTTGGCTTACCTTTCAATATAAATTCCCAAGTAAGAAGTAAGTAGGAAGACATGCAAAGAGGAAATACTTGAATAAGTAAAAGCCTTGTGCAATTTCCCATCTCTGTACCTTTCTACCCCAATGCTTCCCAAATATAATATCCTTTCTCTACATGCCCTTAAAGCAGCACTACTCAAAATGAGGTCAACAGATGGGTGTCTGACGAAGAGGTGTTTATCACCCTGTGATGAGACAAGTAGAGAGAGTGAGTATTTAGAAAATATTACAGCAATTTAATAGAGCAATTTATCCTTATTAAATCTAATAATGATAAAAGTTAGTCTTCCACTTTGTTTTTAAATTTCATTTTCTTAGTAACTGATTTTAATTGCACTCTATAAAAATATTAACCTCTAACTGATTGGGGAGGATTATTTCATAACAACAAAAAAGAAACAAACAAACAACAAACTTGAGAGACACTGCTTTAAGGGTGCAGATTCAAGTGCCACCAATTCTTGTATACAGCATTCCTGATGTTTTTGATGAACCGGCTATTAAATTCTATAACATTTGATCTGAACAGTCCTCTATTATGCCTCTTGTAACTTTCTACCTAGATTAGTAATTATTTGTATTTTTATCTCTCCTGAATAATTATAACTACCCAGAGGACAAGTTATGTATTCATAACACTTCATGGTTGGCATAGAATTCATAAATTCACATTACACTAATGGACTAGATGGATTAATTGTTCATAATTACTCACAGATTTGGAGAGGGAAGAAGTTTAAAAAAAGATGTAAATGGAGCACATTTTCCTGAACTTGGATAGGGAAAGAAATGAGAACAAAGATTTCAGACACTATCCAATTCTACATCTTGTATATTACTACTGAGACCTGAACACACACAAAAGTCCTATTTCTGCCTAAGAAGAAGCTAATAAATTATCAAAAATTAAGTTTTAAATCAAACTTGTGTCTCATGAATTTCTGCTGTACCTCTGAGAATTTAGTCAAAGCCACACAAATATCACACTTACAGTAGACTCTCAAAAAGCAATTTCCAGAACACTTAATTGTGAGCACATGAATTACCAACTCCAATAAATCAATACTCATATCCTTTATCATTGGAGCTGATAATACTCACACTTACTAATTAAGGAAAATATTAATAGAACAAGGCATTTACTTCAGAAGTCAGCTCTAGAACCCACTCACCAAAGTATTCATCAGCAGGTGGGTTTTCCATATCATACAGCATCTTCTTGGTCAAGTGCTCCAGCTCATCTTCTGGGCGGAATGAGGGAGGAGCAGCTGGAGGTCCCTTTGACCCTGTTTGTCCACCCTGTAAGGCAAAAAACACGTAGTCCTTTAGATACAATCTAGACATCAACTAAGACAATCAGGAAGTGTTTACACTGTAGAGGAAAAAGCACTGGACATGGCTATTAGGAGTCCTGAGTTTTAGAAATGGTTTTATTGGCTATTCAGGGCCTGACCTTGGACACAACACTTGCCTCTTCTATTGAAATCATCTGTCAGGCTTTAGAAATCTATGTTTACAACAGTACGACTTAATTTCATTCAATAATTGCTAGAAGTCATGGTGCACCAGTTGAATATTTATTAAAAAGATAAACAGATTGAGTCTCCCTCTTAAGGAACTCATAGAGAAATGAGAGATAAAGGCACATCAATAATTAAGTATAAAGCAACTGTAGAAAGTACACAGTCAAGGTACAAAGGTGACCTCTCCTGTAGCCTGAGAGGAAGAATCCAGAGGACAGGTGGTGACAGAAACTAGGATTTATTCAGCTAAAAGAAGAGTCCCATATTAAGGTGTCATAAGGAGCTCCTAGCAGTTGTATATTTATGGACTATTTATACTGTTTCAGATAGAAACTAAAACACATCTATTGAACATAGGTGTCCAGAAAGTGAAGGGCCTTCCCTGTGCTCTAGCCAAGGTTGAGTAATGCTTTTCTAGCACTGGGACCAGCTAGATCTCAGATGGGGAGGGTAAATTGGTAGCATTGACACTGGGCTGGTATTTTAACCAGCAGGTGAGCCAGAATTCCAGCAACGTAAGGGAATCAAGTGACCAGAGAGAGAGCACTTCAGGTGACCAACCAAGAATCCAAAGTAGAGAAAGAAGGAAGGCCAGATGCCCGATGTAAAATCACTCTGTGCTGCATAAATAAAAGGGAATTTACTATATTTTCCTTTGCAAGATTATGACATTGACCACTTCCCATGTCACACCTCAACATCTTTGATCAAAGTGTTAAAAACAGAAAGAATGTTACAAAAGGTTTAGAAATAATGATGATGTCCATCATCACTACTAGGCAGAGATGAGGGATGCTCTTCCTTTATGTTTATGCATTCCTAAAATTGTTGACCAAGAGTTTCTCCTTTCACGAATAGTTTACAAGAATTAGTTCAACAAAACTTGCATATTCATTCACCAGTTATCTTCATTGTACTAAATGAGGGCTTGGATGTGAAAATCCAGCAAAGAACAAATCCCTGTATAAATGTTTCACTCTTACTACCAACATTTATTTCAACAACTTCAAGATGGATATTGACTATTTGTGTGATATCTAAGGCATGAAAGGTGTTCTAAATATATGTAAAATTATTGATTGCGACCTATTTGGCCTTTTCTCTAGAACTGTTATCCATTTTTAGGTTTTTAAAATGTACAGAAGGTTGGAGTACAAGTGGTTTGGTGTTTAAGACAGAGGGCTGAAAATGCCAAGAATTTTTTTGTTTGTCACTAACCTCACCTCCAGGATTTGATTTCACTGTTGGATAATTTGGGTTGGAGTTTCAAAGCAGTGAAAATCTATGATATGTGGCAGGCGGCAGAGGCAAAAATTAGAGCTGCCTGCCAGGATCTGAAGAATCATTACCTCCATGTACTCATTGTGAGATAAGAAACCTGACACCCAGAAAATTCAGGGCAGGGCTAATTGTGATGAAGCCAGGATAAGAGCCCATCTTAGACTCACTCATTAGTGCACTCGTTCAACAAACATCATGTTAAATTCAGGGCCTCCTCTAAGCTGCAAATAATGCCTGCAGTATAGAATTGGTGTGAGAGTTAAAGAAACTATTGGGTCATTCATTTATTCTTTCACTTATTAGGTATCTACTCCGTACTGTGTTTTGTGTACCTTCTGCAAGCATCAAAGCATGGGGAAGGGACACAAAGATACGTTAGACAGCCTTTGCCTTTGAGGGGATCAGAGTCTAGTGGGGGTGAGAAATGTGCACAAATTATTGATTATAAAAAAGCACACTATACTGGCAGGACTGTATGTAGATATGAACAATGGAGGAATGATTTGCTAGTGTTATTAAACTTTACATTGCACACATGCTGCCTACTTCTAGGAAAATTTTATAGAAATACTCATACAAAAACATAGAATTATATGACCAAGGCTGGTCCCAGGAACTATATTTGAGAGAATAAAGGATAATGTAATTGTGTATCCACTGGTAAGAGACCACCTAAATAGACAATGGCAGATACATACAGTGAAACATGAACAAGCTTTAAAAGAAACTTTACAAACTTACACGTACAAGTGTGAAAAGATAATCTCAGTATCTAATCAATTAAACAGATCCAATAACAGAATATCTAAATGGAGGTCTCACTTTTGTAAAGGAAGACCAGTTAATTATCTGCAGATCTATACCTGGGAAATGAAAAGGGCCTGAAAAGACCTATACTCAAGTGTTAAAGAGGATTATCTCTGGGGTTAGAATACTGGTGGGCTTTCACTTTTTAAGTTTGTTTATTTTATAGTGTGGAACTGTGTTTCTGCAATTCATGAACTGTAACTTTTTAAATGTGATGAATCAAACAATCAAGATATGCTGGATATTAATGAACCTTTTGAACTGGCTTCGAAGTGGGATCAAATGGGAACTCTGAGAGGAGTGAAAGGTCAGATGTCAGAGGTCAGGAGCAGATTGGTGGGAGAGGGGACTTCAGTGTGGTGTTTAAGACAGAAGAATCAGTTAAGAGCTGCCGTGCCTCACTGGGGGGCTTAGGGCTCCCCGTGGGCTCGGGCTACAGGCCCGTGTGAGACCAGGGACAGCTCTGAAATCTGATGAGCTAACCTGTCTTTGGGCAGAGAATGGCATCCATAAAGATATACCTAAAATTCCAATTTACAATTATACACTGTAATTTGTAGTACAATTACTTACAATGTCAGAAATTTCATAGACCACTGGGAATATATCTAAAGACCCACGGATAGGAGCACCCAGACCTTAGAGACTGCAGTAGGGATTCTCAGCAGGGGAGGTAGCTAACCAGATTATAAAGTTCTCTCTGGAGAGGAGGAGGATGGAAGCTGGAGGAGACTGGAGCGAGGTGTAAGTCTCCCATAACACATTTGTGGCCAATGGTAGTGAAGGGTTATACTATGCCACACTGCCAATATGGTTAGAGACAGAGACTGAACTATTACTGAGACTAGGTGAGCTTCTGAACCTTTCATAGCTTCAGATTCCCTTCTGGAGAATGGGCTTGGTAAAGTTATCTTACAGTCTGCGAGTATTAAAATGAAACAGTTTGCCTTTTACGCTGTATAGAGAGTTTAACTGCTCTCAGCCCAGGGTAACAAAGGGACTCTCTTCGGATTCCCCAAACTGCCTTTGAGGGAGGGGATTATCTTAGTTCAGGTGATCAATGAAGATAAGGATGAGAAAATAACCTACATTCTGTTTTCCAGACTTGCAAAAAGAAAGAGCTTGAGCCCAAATATGGTGTCACCTGACTCCAAATTCCATGCATTTTTTCCAACCAAATATTGCATCCCATAGAAAAACTGCTAGAAAATATGAAATATTACCTCTAATATTAATGGTGCTGGTTGTTCTAATTTAAATCAACAACTATTCAAGAAAACCTGATAATCTGTGTCTCTAGTCTTAGGGGGGGACTCCCCAGTAACAGACACATTTTGTCATTGTTTGAGCCTAATATCTGCTTCCCTTTCAACCTAAGTAAAGGCAGCAAGATGGTGAAGTCTATGCTCCACAAATCTAAACAATTCAAATTCTACGATTAGCACTTGCATTTCAAATACAGCTCTATAATTTCAGAGTACTTTCCTTGTCAGTACTTCACAGATTTTAAGAAAAATATACCATTCATTTTATTCATCAAAAACATCTTCCTATTTGTATGTGTTACTGTTTCTGAAATAACACATTTGGGAAGACTCTTTTCTTTTAGATTCTAATCTCATATAATGCTGACCTTGGATTTCTGGTATTTTTCATGAGGAGAAATACCAAGAGATCATCTGTTCCAATGTTTCTGAACCTTATTTGGCTAGACAAACCCCAACTCCCACCAAACGCGCGCGCACACACACGCACACACACACACTTCAATGCATAATACATAACATCCATGGAATAATATAGATAAAACACAGGCTCCTCGGTTTCCACTTGTTTCTCACACCGAAGAAGACATAGCCTAGCACTTTCCTCAGGATTCAAGTTTCATTGAGTAGTAGTGCAGCGCTTTTTTCACTGGGATGAAGAGACCCCTTCCTTTTCATTTCTCTCTCTCAGTAGTGCTCAGGACTCAACATGTCCTAAAAAAATTAGTATCTGTGTACAACTTATTTTACTAAGTAGCTTCTAGCATCACAGCTGGTAATAGAACATACATAAAAATTCGTGTGGTGAGAGGGGTTGCATTATTTTATTTTTTCAAAAGTAGAAAGGTAAATAGTATCAGCAGTCTATTCACTGCGGTGTAACAATTCCTCATACTTATATGCCCTGTTGTAAGGTGCCTGCCTTCACATCCACGTAATCTCAAGTGTTTATAAAACAGCCCCATACGATCTGTGGTCCTATCTTATGAAGAACTGAGGTTTGGAGAGGAGAAGTGAGCGACCCTGTGTGAAGTAGCAGCCCTGAGAAACAGCGAGCCCCGACTGAAACCAGGTGCGCCACGTGGGGCCTGCTCTGCTACACCGCAGGCCTCTCGGGGCTCCCGACATCACCCTCTCCGAGTCTGTGTAGCTCTGTTACTCTGTAATAACTTGGATTTTTATCTACCAACCCCTATTCTCTAAGCAAGGATATTTTCAGAGCGGAGGTTTACTGCTAAATAGTGACAGAATGACACTTTAAAACAAATATAAACAAAGCCTCCAACCTTTTCTAAGAAAAAAATGTTCTTGTAAGTATCAATATTAATCACCAGTATGTGTGTTCTTTGAAGTGCTTACAGGCAAGATATGTTGTGTGACCCCCAGGTGAGTTACTGAGAAATAGATTTTAGTGAACTCCTTT